CCCTCTCCATCACTCCCTCACCCCCTCAACACTCCCTCACCCTCTCCATCACTCCCTCACCCTCTCCATCACTCCCTCACCCCCTCAACACTCTCTCACCCTCTCCATCTCTCCCTCACCCTCTCCATCACTCCCTCACCCTCTCCATCACTCCCTCACCCCCTCAACACTCCCTCACCCTCTCCATCTCTCCCTCACCCCCTCAACACTCCCTCACCCTCTCCATCACTCCCTCACCCTCTCCATCACTCCCTCACCCTCTCCATCACTCCCTCACCCTCTCCATCTCTCCCTCACCCCCTCAACACTCCCTCACCCTCTCCATCACTCCCTCACCCTCTCCATCACTCCCTCACCCTCTCCATCACTCCCTCACCCTCTCCATCACTCCCTCACCCCCTCAACACTCCCTCACCCCTCAACACTCCCTGACCCTCTCCATCACTCCCTCACCCTCTCATCACTCCCTCACCCTCTCCATCACTCCCTCACCCCTCAACACTCCCTCACCCTCTCCATCACTCCCTCACCCCCTCAACACTCCCTCACCCTCTCCATCACTCCCTCACCCCCTCAACACTCCCTCACCCTCTCCATCACTCCCTCACCCCCTCAACACTCCCTCACCCTCTCCATCACTCCCTCACCCCCTTAACACTCTCTCACCCTCTCCATCACTCCCTCACCCCCTCAACACTCCCTCACCCTCTCCATCACTCCCTCACCCCCTCAACACTCCCTCACCCTCTCCATCACTCCCTCACCCCCTCAACACTCCCTCACCCTCTCCATCACTCCCTCACTCCCTTAACACTCCCTCACCCTCTCCATCACTCCCTCACCCCCTCCATCTCTCCCTCACCCCCTCTAACACTCCCTCACCCTCTCCATCACTCCCTCACCCTCTCCATCTCTCCCTCACCCCCTCAACACTCCCTCACCCTCTCCATCACTCCCTCACCCCCTTAACACTCTCTCACCCTCTCCATCACTCCCTCACCCTCTCCATCACTCCCTCACCCCCTCAACACTCCCTCACCCTCTCCATCACTCCTTCACCCCCTCAACACTCCCTCACCCTCTCCATCACTCCCTCACCCTCTCCATCACTCCCTCACCCCCTCAACACTCCCTCACCCTCTCCATCACTCCCTCACCCTCTCCATCTCTCCCTCACCCCCTCAACACTCCCTCACCCTCTCCATCACTCCCTCATCCTCTCCATCACTCCCTCACCCCCTCAACACTCCCTCACCCTCTCTATCACTCCCTCACCCTCTCCATCACTCCCTCACCCCCTCAACACTCCCTCACCCTCTCCATCACTCCTTCACCCTCTCCATCACTCCCTCACCCTCTCCATCACTCCCTCACCCTCTCCATCACTCCCTCACCCTCTCCATCACTCCCTCACCCCCTCAACACTCCCTCACCCTCTCTATCACTCCCTCACCCTCTCCATCACTCCCTCACCCCCTCAACACTCCCTCACCCTCTCCATCACTCCCTCACCCTCTCCATCACTCCCTCACCCTCTCCATCACTCCCTCACCCTCTCCATCACTCCCTCACCCTCTCCATCACTCCCTCACCCCCTCAACACTCCCTCACCCTCTCTATCACTCCCTCACATGTCTATATCTTTTTCGATCTATCTGTCTATCTATTCATCTATCTATCTATCTATCTAATTATCTATAAATATATATACACACTCGCACACACACTCTTTCTGTCTCCCTCCCCCTTCCCTCCCTTCCTGCCTCCCTCCCTTCCTCCTCCGTCTCTTCCTGCCCCCCCCCCCCCTCCCTTTCGTTCTGTCTCCCTTCCTCTTCCGTCTCTTCCTGCCTCCCCCCCCCTCCCTTTCGTTTTGTCTCCCTTCTGCCTCCCTCCCTTCCTGCTTCCCTCCTTTCCTCCCTCTCTTCCTGACTCCCCCTTCACGCCTCCTGCCCTCCAGCCTCCTTCTGCCTTACCCGTCCTTTCCCCTCCTTACCCCCCTACCTTCCCTCCCCCTCCCTCGGCCCTATCCGTTCTCCCTCCTCCCCGTCGTCCTCCCTCATTCCCCCCTTCCTTCCCTCCCCCTCCCTCGGCCCTATCCGTTCTCCCTCCTCCCCGTCGTCCTCCCTCATTCCCCCCTTCCTTCCCTCCCCCTCCCTCGGCCCTATCCGCCCCCTCCCTTCATCGCCCGTACCTTCCAGCCTCTTTCTGCCTTACCCGTCCTACCCCCCCCCCCTTCTTCCCCTACCCGTCCTTTCCCCTCCCCCCCCCCCCCTACTCGTGATATGATAATGGTGATGATGATATTGTTAATATTGTTAATTTCTTTTCAAATCTAGACAATTCCACGTGCCTCGAAGGAAGCGAAGGAAGTGAGCACCTGAATCAGCATATTCTGCAGAACAAGATTAATAGTCCTTACGTCTGCATTGTTGCAGTTATAACCGTAACCCAACCTGCGATAAAAATCTGTTGATGAAGCAGTCAGCGGTTGTTTTCCACG